ACACTGCCTGTGCCGGGGCGATGGGGCTGAGTGCGTTAACATCCTGTGTGAAGGACCACATGCACGCACTTGGTGAGGAACAACTTGTTATCTCCCTTCATCAGGACTCAACAAGGATTTCAAGCGAGGTCACTGTTTGTTTTGTCTGTTCTTTTTCTCCTGCCCTGCCCCAATCTGCAGGACATGTTGTTCTCTCAAAGCAAAAAGAAATACGGTCCTGCACGCACGTGGAATAGAAATCTGTCCGGTCTTTGCCAAATGGGAAAATCTTTGTATTTGTTTCTTTGCTTCTCCACCATGGGGAACAGACAGATGTGAGGCAGCAACATCGCAGTGGGTCCTGCATGGAGAGGATGCAGGTGGTGCATCACATGCTTGTGCACTGCAGGAGGCTGAGAGCAGGAGAAGATTTCAGGCACCCCTCTTTTCTGCAGCCCTGTTGGCAACCATATATCCCATGCCTGGATGCGTGACTCTTTCCAGTTAGGAAACTGGGAAATCATACGCCTAACTTCGGTTCAGGAATTGCAAAGCAGGAGCCAAGAAGTTTCCAGGGAAACCTGTTTCATAACATGGACCACAGTGTTTCAGCTTCCAGATTGAAACGGAATTTATTTTTATTATATTAAATTCTTACATGCCACAATTATTTTCTGTCTGTGTGTACACAGAAACACATATTTGTGCTTCACAAATACTTTGAACCATCAAAAGATAGGCCAGACGGTGCTGTTTGCTCTGCATGAGGAGTAGAGCCGCACTGAAGATGACAGCTTTGGAAAGTCAGAGTGTCTCTGGATAAAATCACTGTGTGCTCAGATCAGTGGTACCAGTGCGCAGGAGTGACCGCACCATCTTCAAAGCCTATCTGATGAGTTGGGGAAAATCCTGACGGCTTCAGTAAAAAACCTTCCCTGCACTTTTGACACCAGCAATTGTAATGAGACATTCCTGGAGCCATCTCCAAGCCGTATGTTTTGCCCAGGGAGTGGCATTAGGGTTATTAAATCTATGCTCTCAAGCTCTGTGCTCACAGCTCCCAGAATACATTTCTCTTATCTGGATCTCCATGAAAACCCTTCTGACAGTCTGTAGCACAAGCCACTGGCAAAATAATCCTGTGAGTAAAACCACCACCTCCAGGAAGAGCAAAGGATTCACCTGTGGGGGATGCTGAGCAGAACGGCCAGACCAAAAAGATGCCACATTAGTCTTCATGTTTGCACAAAAAGCAAAAAATGTTGAAGTGCAGTAACAACAACAAAAAAGGTACTTATAATTTTCTCTGAATCTTGTGTATTTGTGAAGACGCTGTCTCTTCCATGAACACAACTTTGACTTGGTTAAAGCCAAAAGCATTCTTATGTTTTTTGGGTCTACCATTTAGGCCAGCTTACACAACTATGTTCGTTTCAGCACATCAATAGTTCCAGGTATTTCGTTCAATAATGCTTGAGTATTTCATTGCACTTATTTCCCTGTATTTATTGCATAGAAGCTGATTTTGAACCATGAAATAAAAAATGAAAATTGTCTTTGATTCTTTCTGTGAAAATTAACAGAATAACAGATTAGCACAAAACTGCATGTGGTATTTTTACTATGTTACCACCAGTAGAAGTAACACAGGAGTAAATTCCGCTGCCAGCAAACCGGGCACACATTGTGATTTCTTACTGGTTTACACTAATGCCGGTGAAGCTGAATTTACAGTAGTAGCTTGAGGTCAACAGTGTAGGCTGAGCTATAGCAAAATGTATCTGACAGCAGGATATGCCTGAACTTAAGCAATTTTCTAGTCAAACCTCTGCATGATCAGTCAATTTAACATAATTTTATGTTGAGCACATAGGCACTTTATTGCTGTAAAGCTCTCAATACAATTTAATCCTTTGCAGATCAAAGCTCTCACTGTGCATTTCTCTGCAGGATGATGACTTTGGATGTAGGATATTGGAGTACTAAGCATTTGCATGGTAGAAACATATTGGAGATCTCCTATAGGTTGTAAAATAAATAATAATAAAAAAAAAACCCCTGAATATTTTTGTTCAGGTCCCTGACACAAATTGACTTATTTTGGATACGTGCCAAGAAAAATGAAATCAGAATCTTCCGCACTGGCTTTCTCTAAAACATCTCCTAAAAGATGCCTCCTGAACTTAGCATTTTTTGTCAGGTACGCACTTGAACATGAAATACATTCAGACATCTTTTATGAAAGTGAATTTATTTACGTTGGCATACGAGTGATAACAAACTCCTGAAACACATCCATTCCTTCACCTGATCTACATACGTATTTAAGTAGCTTTAGGCAAAGCTAGTCCAGAAAGGGGTGTGAGTGTCTCCTTCACACAGCAAACTACGAAATGGTACACCTATGTTAACCACAGCTCCTTCTAGCCCTGAAAATGCAGAGAATGGCCTCTTGTGGAGACACGATGGCTCCTTTCGTAGGGAAGAAAGCAAAGGCAGCAAGTGTCCTGGTGTTCTTCACTACAGAGGAACAAAGCGAGGGGTTGAAGGAGTTAGTCATCTGAGCACGGCACTCGGTTTGAAAGCTGGCTAGCTGTGGATTCATTCGTCTCACAGAAACAAAGAAAAGTTTATACTATCAAATTTTGAGTAACGCCAGAGATCAGGGAACAAGAGGAGGCATTCTGTCTGGCTATGTCGAGTCAAGCGGATTGCAGAGGTACTCCTCCTGTCCAGGTGTGGCTGCAGGCACCTCTGAGTCAGAGCACACCGCGGCCCTGCTCCAGCGACAGCAGAGAGGAGCTGAGAGAAACCCACGTTACTAAAGCACTGAATTTCCTACAGACAGAATATTTAAAAAAAAGAAAAATAAAAAAAGGTGCTAGAACAGTAACAAAATTCATCTCCTGATCTTAAACCATGCGAGCACCACCTAGAGATTTACAGTTCGACAAATGCTGGCAGCGGACGTCATCCAACTGATCTGCTCTGAAAACACTGATGCATTTACAGTAAATCCCTAACCAGGCCAGTTGTGCAACAAGTTGAAGTGACACAAAGTATTAACATTTATGGTGGTGAGTCAAAAATCAAACAAACATCCTCCTTTTATAAGCTTTCTCACAGCGTGTAGTAGCATGTACTGCGAGTAACGAAACATCTGTTACAGCCGTGACTCTCGCAACTGAGCAAGTGTTGCAATCATTCTGTGGGGCCAGGCTTCACGTTAAGGCTTTCGTGGGTAGATGGGAAGTATCAGCAATGGACAACTGATTTGGGAAGAATGAAATAAAATAAAGAACTCTTAAAGAGCCGGGTTTGCTCTGTAGAATATAAAAAAGTATTATATTGCAAAGTGTCCAAAACTAATTTTAACTCCAGACTGAGAGACTTATTTCCACGTTACTTGCAGTTCATCCAAGCGCCCAGAAAGCCCCTTTTCAGCAGGTTGTAGATATGGGCAGAAAAGTGAATTATAAAATGTGCTTAGATGGTTCATTCTTGTATAAAGGTGCCCACTATGCTTCAGATGCCCTGCACCCAGATTTAGAGGCTGACCCTTCTGCAGAGGGGTACGGGTCTCCCCAACTGCCCTGTGCTGCTGTGCATTGCTGCCATGAAGCATTCATTCCACCCCCCCACCCCCCATAAGTTTTGCCATTGACCACAAAGACTAGGTCCAGACCAGCATAAACAGAGTCAATACAATTCCTGGGAGTCAGAAATTTAAGACTGGATGCAGCAGAACATGTACTAATTAAATGTAGACATACTCTCATTCCCATCAGTTCCCATGTGTACTTAAGAAGCACTTGTTTAAGGGTTTTGCTGACTAGAAGTAGTTTCCTGTGTCTGTGAATGCTTTTGCATTAAAGATTATGTCTGCTTTGGATATGAGTGATGACCGTAAGCTGCACAGTCCTACCAGCTATTACAGAACTGGGACACAGAAAGTGGGGTTTGTTTGGCTTTTTTTTTTTTTTCCCCCAAGCTCAGCAAGTAATTACATACAGTGAAATTTGTATATCACTGTAGTGAAATTCACAGAAAGGTTTCCGTAACAAAAGGTTTCTTTGAAAGGGAGAGGTTGTTGCTCTGAGCTTCAGAGCTTGCCCAGTGTTTAGCCTTTAGGCAAGTTCCTGAAGAAGGTATGAAAGGCTTGCATTCTCATTTACGGTATTTCTATACTATGCTCAGAAATGTTCAGAGGAAAATTCCCTTGGTCTCCTGCTTTAATGTGTTTTTCTTCCAGAGTGTCTGTGCAGAAGCAGAGTTAATGATTCCTACAAGATCAGCCTGCCTCCCCCTCTCAGTTCTGAAATTCTTCCTCTGCATTTTTTTCTTCCAAGGAAGGAACTTTTCTTGCTCATTTGTGACCCCAGATTAGTGATCTAACTCATTTATAATACAATACTTGAACCCTTCAATCAGAACAGGGATATCTGCGTAGCACCCACAGAGATTAACATAAAATTAAAGTCTTTGGAATTCCCCCTTGTTTCTGACTGTGAGAAGAGTGAGAGAGTTTAATATTATGAAACCAGCAAGGTAATGCAGTCGACAGCACACGGCTGCCAGTGGTTTCACTCTTGTCCTTCATCTCCCCTTCCCTCCGTTTGTTTCAGATCATTGCATATTTTATCATGTCACCATTTCAATTTCAAGCTTTCTGGCTCAAGACCGTGTCTTTATTTGAATTTATAAAGTTCACGGATTTGAGTACTCAAAAACCAGTGGGAAGGGTACAGCTTAGGAAACTTAGAACAACTGTGTAATTAAAAACTTTTCCTGTCCAACAGGGCGTCTGCATCATCTTCCAGCTCCAGAAGCAGCGAGCAAAAACACCAGATTTGTTTGTATCAAAGGGACTCTATTGTTTTTTTATTAATCAGTGTTACACATACAGGTTAATAAAAAAAGCTACAGTTTGTGAAATATGTCATCTAGCTACAAGATACATATCTAGGGCGATTGCCATGGTATCTATTGATGCTCAGCCACTGTGAAAAATTTACAGTTTATTTTCTGATATACAAAACCTCAAGCAAACATTCCTTGTTAAACATTCAGTAAAGCTCACAGCATTCTACTACACAGTTTCATATAGTGTTTTAGTGCAAAAGGAAGTACAAATATAAAAATACCGAGGCTTGAATTAAAAAAAAAAACAAAACAAAACCAACAAAAAACCCAACAAAAAACCAAGCAAGCCGTGGAGTTAGAGGTGAGTATCTGCTATGGGTATTCTTCTAAGCTCTACGATCTGGGAGTTAGCCATGCTGCCACCGTCCTGGCTGCCATGACAAGACTCGTTATCGCTGACACTGAGACCTGCACCTGAAACAGCAAAACAAACAGGGGAAAAAAAAAAAAAAAAAGAATCAGTGAGAAAGAAATCCTGACACAGAAATGGTGATATTGTGTCCTGCTCTGCTTTATTCTGGTTATTGAAATGCTTCCCTACCTCACAGCAATGTGGCAAATTTCCTCCTACTAGTCTACAATTGTGAACCCACAGATTGTAACTTTATCTGACGTAGTTTTGTACCATCCCGATACGCTTTTTCATCATTCCACTGTCAGTCACTTTATTTGTCTCAGTAAATGGTACAATAGCTATTCAGAGGTTGCCTTGAAATCACAAGAGCATAAATCAAGGCCTGGCTTAGGCTGGGCTCATGGTCTGGCTGTTACAGTCTGGTATTTCCAAGGACTTCTTCATGAAAAATTGATTTTTAATGATACAATTTCCCTGTTAAACTATAATTCCAGCTGTTTTAATAGGATTGTAATTTCAACATGAGAAAAGATGCTGACTAAATATTCTTTAAACCCACATTTGGCACAAGCTGGTGTATTGTGTTTTTCTTCTACTGTGAGAGAATACGAGACTTTAGCCCATGGAAACTTCCAAAACATGTCTGGAAGAGACCTCAGGAGGCCACCTTCTCCATGCTTTTGTCACAGGAGTTCTGCTAGCTTGTTGCTTTTTTGGCACTTTTGGGATTTTTTGCGGGGGAGGTTTGAGTAGACTACTGTGAAGATACATAATTTTTGTGTGATTTGCATTTTCACACTAAAAAAATATTTTCAGGACTTTCTATCAGTTGTACAGTGCATCTCTTATTTCTGCCTCAGCTGTCATTCCAGGCTTTGGCTTGTTTGGCAAAACACAAGATAAGGGTCATTTACTTATTTGGAGTTACCTCATCATTTTCTATGCCCCGTATTGTTCCACTGTTACAGTTTTTCCATTGCACCCTTACTTCCATAACCCCCCAAGCAGAAAAGAAATATGGAAAAGGGGACAGCGGTGGTATACTCCTTTGCTGTGGGAAGTCAGGCTGAAACCTTGGAAGATGGAGCTTGGTCCAGAGAACCTGAGCAGAAGACCCTGCAGGACTAGGCAGCCTTTCCTGCAGAGGTCTGGAAGAAGTCCTGGTAGGGGCCAAACTCAGATGCAGCACTGTGTGAACCCAGACCTACTGCGTCCAGGTGAAAACTGTGTGTTTCTGCACTGTGATCCTTCTTACACCTGGTTTTGGTGTTTGGGTCGCTGAGTGAACATGCATGCATTGCCATCTACTAGATGTGTCTTGTTCTTGGACCTGTATGACCCAAGCTCTTGAGACCAGCAATTACAGTCAGAGTATGACAAGAGTAAAAATCCATCAGCGTACAGAGATACAAGACGATTAGGCTCTGAATCATTAAAATACTTGATTATAAGGATACTGAAGATGATTAAGCCATACTTACTGATTTAAATTTATATTTTCATTGAATCATGGTCCTAGTAACTAAAAGCTGCTTGAAAGTTCTGGGAAAAACAGCAATTGCATAAGCAAGTTATTTGGGTTTTTTCCTTATCTTCTCTAAAACTGTTTGTTTTAGAAAGGAAACATGAGTGTAATAAAGAAGATAAATCAGACTGCTGTATTTACCATTTGGGGACGGCAGAACAAGGTAATAACCTTGAAGTAAATAATATAGTTTGAATGGAGAAACAAAACAATACTTCTGATGTAGCGTTGTTAACGTTGGAATTCACTCAAAACATTTACTTAGGTTGAAGAGGATCCAAAATTCAAAAAGGGAAAAAATACATTATTGAAAACAATAAAATCATGTTATATAAATATGATCATCTCGACTTCAGATTTTAGGGTGAACACTGTTGGGATTAGAAAGGTATTTGTCTTACTGGTGGCTATACTGCAATTATTCAGTATGGGGTTTCTTAAAGAATCTTGTACTGGTCACTATAAAAATATCAGATACTGGTCTAATAAGGTATTACACTATGTGTATTCTTAAATGTCACATATCTGCATGCTTTGTGCGTGCTTTGTGCAAAGTAAGAGGAGATTTTTTTTGTTGTTGTTACGGAGGTTCTTATCAGGAACTTGGTAAACCAAGAGACTGAAACAGACTACTTTGGGTTTACAAGGGTCTTGTTCTGCTGCTGATGCAAAGACTATGTGAAGAGCTGATCCTTTTTAGGAACGAGAGCTGAAACGTAACCAGGATACCAGCTTACCAAACAGTTGGCAGACTGGGAAGGGTAAGACAGTTTACACAGTGGAGTTTCACGGAGTTCATAGGTCCAGCTTGTTCTCAGATTAGAGCAGAAGTTAAACTCAATCAGATCCCAAGAAGAACGTACTCCCCTAGAGATGCTAGAGTTGGATGGTTGGTACGTAGCAGGGAGTATTACTTTTCCCCAGTTTGTGAAGAAACTATTTTAAGAAAAAGACACAGGAAAATGAGGCCTTTCTTCCTTTCTTTTTGTATCAAGGGACTGGAGAAACTGAAAAGTCACAGCTCGCTTTGCAAACCCATAGAGATCCCGCCAGTGACATCTACTGGTTGAAGAATTTCATCATCGCATTCCTACGTGCCCTTGAACACCAGCTGTTATCACCTGCTTGCTCAGAGATATCTCAAACTTTCACTAAAACTTTTTAAGGGAGGTGGAGTTAGTTTTGTAATTATTATACTCATATCTCTGGGGAGACTTTTTATCTTCTATGCACTTCTATGTGTAAGACAGATAGAAACAAATAAGCTACATGAAACAACTTTAATTCTTCTTTCAGGGTTTTGACTTTACAGAAATGACACCAACAGGCATCCAGACTTCTACAAAGTTCAGATTGCACTAAAAATGCTTCCTGGTATTATGTAGTCATGTTGAACAGCCAACAGGTAGCATATTTGTGAGCAATCACAAATGAGAAGTTGAATGAATAATGAATATGCAAACTGGCTACTCTTCCTTCCTTTTTTCCTGTGAAGTGAGCCCTTACGAAACAGAAATTATGTAGATTGATAAGGCAGGGCATGAATCTGGCACTTTGACACCATCTACAATTTATCTGCCCTGTGACAGACAGTCTCCAGGATATTGCACTGAACACCTTTCTGAATGTGAAATTTCAAATCACAGAAGCCCAGAATGGTGTAGGTTGGAAGGGACCTCACAGCCCATCCAGTGCCATCCCTGCCACGGGCAGGGACACCCTCCACTAGCCCAGGTTGCCCAAAGCCCCATCCAACCTGGCCTTGAACACTGCCAGGGAGCCAGGGGCAGCCACAGCTTCTCTGGGCAACCTGGGCCAGGGCCTCAGCACCCTCACAGGGAAGGATTTCTGCCTCCCATCCCATCTCCATCTCCCCTCCTGCAGCTTCAGGCCATTCCCCTTGGCCTGTCACTCCCTGCCCTTGGCACCAGTCCCTCTCCAGCTTTCCTGGAGCCCCTGCAGGGACTGGAAGGGGCACCGACGTCTCCCCGCAGCCTTCTCTTCTCCAGGCTGAACCACCCCAACTCTCTCAGCCTGTCTCCACAGCAGAGGTGCTCCAGCCCTCGGATCATCTCCGTGGCCTCCTCTGGACTCAATCTAGATGTTTTCTCTAGTTCAGGATGCCCAACGTGAGATGCTTAATTCTTAAACTTACAGTGGTAACACCAAGGTTTAAAATATGCAGACTTTGGAACTCTGGCTATATTAGACTCAAAATCATGAGTTGGTTTATATAGCATCATTATTGTAATAGCTGCATTTATGTGGGGTTTTTTAACTTACACAGTAGATTTTTTCACATATTCTCCATGTAAAATATTCATTTAGGGTTTATCACATATGCCTTTATCAAGAGCAAAAATACACTGAGATCTGGATGTAGCAATACCCTCCATTGATACTGCCAGATATATATTTGGAGAGTACCATCTTCTAGGCTGATATTCTCCACTCTTATCTATGTCTTTGCAAACAACTTTCTACGGGGATGGGTCATTGTCAGCCCTGGAGGGGTTCGGGCCTCTCTCAAAGGCTTTGCTGTGTTTTGCATTCACATCTCACCCAAAGGAGAGATGCATCACAGAAGGGGGAGGACAAGAGCATTTGTAGGAGATCGGACTATGGATGGAAGCTCAGAGATCAGTAAAGCTATCATGCATTTATGGTATTTATGCCTTAGAGCAAAGCTGATGGACAGCTCGCTGCTTTGAAACAGATTCCATCTACTTCTGTTGGCTTCCTTTGTAACAACTCCCCAGCCCTAACCAGAGTAGATGTCCTTAGCGAATTCTGCTATATTTGGCCTTAGCCTCAAGGACAGTAACATACGAGACTGTGACAATCTGGAAGGCAACAGCCTTATTAAACTGTTTATCAATATAAACCTGGCACAAGAAATCAGAGGAAAAATGAGATCTAGTCCAAAATGACAGCACTTTTAGAGTTAATTAGTGCAATTAACAAAAACTAATTAGTAAATCATTGTCCTTCTCAGTAAAAGCTAAGCCTTTGATTCATTATAAAAGCCATAAATGAAATATAACAAAACAAATAATTTAAGCCAAATTCATAAACATTTAAAAAAAAAAAAAGGTTTTAGCACATATCATTAGGTAGGACATGTCTCTAAACTATTTTTTTCCTACAATAATTGTTCTATAAAATTTCCTTCACATGAACTGCTTTGGAGCTGGCTGGCCTTCAAAAAAATTCCCACAGTATAAGAGATGAGGTGATATAGTTAATTCTAACTATGTATTATGTATGGAAATGAACATATTTGATGGAAAGGAGGAATTAATTGATAAGGCATTCAGAGGCGATGGCTTTATGATACAAGAAGTCCAGATTTTGGATTTCTTGCACTAAACAAAAAAAAAATTCTATGGCCATGTGATGCAAAGCTTGCATAAAGCTAGCATAAAAGCTGGCTAAGAAACAGTACACTGTTGTCCACCTAATTTGCTAGAAATACAGTTGTATCCCTTCACCCGATCCAGTCTGTATTTCAGGTTAATCTGTAATTAGGCCCGGCATTAATGATTACGGAACCAAGGGCTAAGTGCACAGTTCGACACATTTCTTTAGCAATAAGACCAACTGTGCCAACACATCTATTTGTGGAGCTGCTCTGCAAACTGCAAATTACTAAACCATTGCAAGTTAAAGAATAAAGTTGTGCTGTGGGGGTTTTGATTTCCCCCCCCCCCCCCAACCTGCACCAGCCATCCTTCATTTCTGCTGCTGAGAGTGGCCAGCTGCAGTGCAAGAGTGGGGCCGGAGGGCAGGAGTGAGATTTTAGTTTTGCCCTGGTTATACCCCCATTCTCACTGATCCTGGCTGCCAGATTAAACCCTGAGGCTACAGCATAAATTAAAGTAACCTTGAGACAGCTCCAAACTACATAAGCAGAAAGGACAGATGAAGTGCAAAGAGGCATAAAGACATTTTTGCATATTCCTCTGCTAATCAGTGTTGATCCCCAGCCAACCTTCAGAGTGGGAGCTAATATTTTAGCACGGCTAAGGCTGAGTTTGGTTATAGATTGACAGTTTTAGGGAAGGACAGATAATGGAGGTTTCTGTTTCTGCTTATCAGAAGTAAAGCTCAAGTGATAGCAGGGCAAGCATTTCTGTTCTTCCTCTATATCCCAAAGCCACACCTCCCAGTTTAGGCGTGATAAAAACAGCTAATGTGGTGCGAAACACCTTTTCCTTGCACTCCCAGGGGCTTGTCTGCTTGAAATGAGGAAATCTCAGCCTACTGAAATAAAGCCTGGTCTAAAAAGGTTTGAGGACTACTCACAGCAAATGACAGACAAGAGCAAGGCAGCAAAAAGGCATCTCAGCTGCACATGCATTTTAGCCTATTTAGAGAAGAGGTGCTGATCTTCCCATTGCTGGTGACCACTGCTTCCTTGGAGCTGGGACTGGTGCTCCAACTGATGTGGAGTGGCAAGGGGAGAGGGAGGAAGAGGGGGAGAGGAAGGAGAGGAAGAGGAAGAGGGAGAGGAGAAGTCTCTAACCTGAGTTGTTGCGGTTTCATGTGAGTACAAGCAACAACGCAAGAGAGTAAGGAGAAATGTGCTGCCAGGAGGGACCAGGAGACAGGCTCCTTTCAGCGCCTGCTAGCTGAACTGTATCATAAAATTCCCGTCTGACCACAGCTCAGTGAATACTTTAGCAGCATGAGCCTGTACTGCCAGAGAAGAAATCCCACTTTCCACCACCTCATCTCCCTTTTTTATTGCTTCCACGTGGTTCCCTTCCTCATGCCATCAGGAGCACTTCGACTCCTTGGCCATGCACTGAACTGAACTGGAGAGCAGATCTGGATAAAAATAATAAAACAGATATGATTTTTAGTTACAGAAAAGCTCACGTTTTTTGGTTTAAAGTATGTGTTGAGCTGCAGCTTGTATCTAAGGCAATGGCTGATGATAAACATTTACTTTGGTGGTTAAAGCTAGTCTAACCTCAACACCACCTCGTCAGTTTGGCTTGTTCAAATGTTGTGTGTGAGGCTGGAACCAGATGGGACAATGGGTTTGGCTTAGAAATCATCTGGTTTTGTCCCCGTAATGTTGCTGGGGACATAGTTAGTTTGGGCACACAAATAAGCACTGGGGTAAAATGGTCAGGTACTACTTGAATCAGTAATGCAAAAAAATTTTTTTCTCCTACTGTGGCCTGAAATCTCTGCTTCAAATCACATTAATACAAAAGGCTCATAAGAACAAATGATAATAAAACATTAATAAAGAAGACAATAATAAAATTTAGGCAAAATAATGAAAAGCTGGTTCTAGACCTACTTCCTTCCAGGAAGTAGGACTGAAAACAAATTAACTAAGGATGGAGCTTGAAGATTTATAAAAAAAATCATTAAATGCTAAAGTTGTGGTGAATTTTATTAACCATGAGTTTTAACTACTGCTGTTGCCTAGATTGTTTTTCGTGATTTAAGACTCAGCCTTCCACAGTGTGTAGAGTTTACTGCAGAAGATAGGCCAACTGATGTCAACTGAGCTGCTTAAGCAGTAACACTGTCTGTGAGGGTGGCAGTGTTAGATGTGAATGGCCTCATATCCCGTTAACTACCTGTGAATGATCTGGTCTCCTACAAAATATTCAGGAAGGAGTACAAAAGTAAAAGCTACCTTCTTAAGTACTTGAAAAAAAAAGGTTTGCAACTGTAAGCTTATGCACCTAGGTTTGAAAGTCTTGCCCAAAATCTTTAACTGCCTAACAAAGTAGAAGTAGTCTATGAAAATGACCAGGAAAATTATTAGGTACAATACAGATCTTGTGACAGTATTCATTAAAATTTGTATTTATTAGCACTAGGCCAGTTATTCATCATCCAATTATCTTCAGAATTAGAAGAGTTTTCTGCAATGTAAATTGGGTCAAGAGATAAAGTATTATGAATATACCGAATAAAACTGCCCCTTCATTAGCAGCATTACCAGTCTTCCAACAATTTTGGCTATTTCCCTTGGTGTCGCTGAAGGGAACAAACTCCTGAAATTGTTGGTGCCAGAGCACTTAACCTGTTTATGTCACCAGTACCTCACTGTTGTCTCTTGCAAGGCTCGATGGTGTCCCCAAAGATCATTCAGGTGACGTCCTACTACCAGGCTAGTCCATTTGTATTTCACCTGGTGCCTAGAGGAGGTGGGTTTGGGTTAGCATCTGCCAGGTCTTATCAGTTGGCTCTCCTTTGCGGTCATCTTATCAGACATTCCCATGTTGACCCATCATTGAGTCAGGTTTCCCTTAATTTCTGCTGCCTGTGGCCATGTCTGACTATCTATTTATATCATCATTTGAATAACCTGAAGTTTCACTGGTGGAGTGGGTAAGGAAGCAGGAAAATAATACATAACTGAGGGCAAAGCCTGTGATTTTGAAGACTTGAACTCCACGGCTATCAAGGCAAATCTGATTACAAATATTTTGGTTTGCAGGTGTAGTTTGCACGTGGACACCTAGAGTGGCCTCCTCTGCTTCGGTCCTCCAGCAGCATGGTGAGCTCACCATAGTTTGCTCTTGCATTTGGGCAGAAGTCTATCTAGTTTATCTTCCCAGTGTGCACTACTTTCAGGTCCAAATGTATTCTATATAAATATTTTGTCTTACACTTATTGAGATAATTAATATTTATGAAGTTATGCTGTTTCTCACAGAGATATATAACAATAAAGATAGGCATTCCATATACTCTATATATCAATTTGAAAAAGAAAGGAAAAGAAGACAAGACAGCCCATGTCTAGAAGCAGCAAATTTGCCATTTAAGCACTTGTGAAAAAATGTCAGAGCCTCCAATCTGCTGCTGCTTTCTGTAGGTCTGCTTATCATCATGACTCAAAACATATTTCTGCAGACTCCTCTGTTTTTTTAGATAGCCGGCACAATATTTTTCATGGAGTAGCAGTCTAAGGCAAAGCAATTTTACTTCAGATTTTCACTGGCAATCAGACTATATTAACAGCTCTTGTTAATTGGATCTCATGGAATGGTGACACCATTAGCGTGAAGAACAACATAATAACCTTTGCAGAACAAGAAGAATCACTCACCAGTCTTTAAAGCAAATATTAGGTCATCAAACTCCTGTGATTCCTCATCAGCAACCAATGAGCTGGTACTAAATCCTCCAGAAGGGTGGAAAACATTGCCATTTTGTGGACTCTGCTTAAAGGCAGCACTAGCTTGACTAGCAGGCTGCAAGGATGCCCTCTCCCAGTCTGCAGGCACCTGCAAAGTTTAAAAAGACACAAAAATGCAGTAATCATCAAAACTATACTATAGAAACTGGAAACTATGACCAGAGCTGAACTCAAGACCAAAAGATTTTGGAACCAGCTATTCTGTCACTTCTACAGTGAACCAGGTAGCTTTTTTAATTATTTTTTTAATTAAAATATATATATATAACCCAATTACAAGTCATTTAACCTTGTGTTTGTTATGCCAGTTCTAGCTATCTCAAAAAGTTTAAAAAATATTGCTATTTCTGAACATTGGCCCCTGGTATGGAGAGCTTTAACTTAAAGCACTGACAGGTTCCAGCTCACTCCACTCTTACCATAGCCTCTTCCTGTGCTGGACTCTGCTTCTCCCTTCTATAGCCACTAACCATCATTACTTTCCATTTTATGATCTACAGTTGGCAACCCATAGCTTCCCATGTTTACCAATACAGTATTTTAAAGTAGTTTGCCAGTCTTTGAAGGGTCTGGTGGTGGTATACAGCCCTACAGTTTTGATATCAACTTTGCTATAGTTCATCTACCACTTCAGTGTAAGGTGGAGCTACACAAAAAATCAGAATTTCAGTTCATGAGAAAAGAGGTAGTTTTGAAAATCTATCTCCTCCTTAAATGTGATGAAAGCCAAAATACTGCACTCTAAAAAAATATATTTTAGCATAATCAAAATATAGTTTCTTGGTCTATTGCTCATCCGCTGTTTAGGAGCTCAGGAACGTAAAAGCTTGACCTGTAGAGCTGAGAAGCTCTGCTGTCCACTAAAATGGGGAGTCAGGCACCACCTTAAGTGAGATGCTGAGAAGTTGAATAAATTTAGTGGTCTGCCAGGAGGCAGCTGAGGATCTTTAAAAACCAGAGAAACCTGCAAACAAGCAGGTAGAGAAATGGGCAAAACAGCTGCCAGGTGAGCAGGTTGGTTTCCACAAAAATTATTACTAGAACTGACATGTTCCCTTGAAATATTTCAATTCCATTAAATCAGTGTTTTTCCTCGAAAAACTGTTTAGCTGAAAAATTTTCAACTAGCTCTATCAACATGCACATATACATAGCAGCAAAAGTCACCTTAGTTTACTACAGGTAGTGAAAAGTGATACTAGCAGCATTCCAGTTCCAGCAACAAAGAAATTGAAAATCATCTCCCTCAAAATTCCTTTCCTCCCTTTCCTTTCATCTTCCTCAAAATTCATCCCTTCCCCTTCCCCTTCCCCTTCCCCTTCCCCTTCCCCTTCCCCTTCCCCTTTCCTTTTCCCTTTCCCTTCCCCTTCCCCTTGCCCTTTCCCTTTCCCTTTCCCTTTCCCTTTCCCTTTCCCTTTCCCTTTCCCTTTCCCTTTCCCTTTCCCTTTCCCTTTCCTTTTCCCTTTCCCTTTCCCTTTCCATTTCCCTTCCCTTCCTTTTTTTATTCTGATATTATTCTATTCTATTAAGATTTCCAGAAATTTTGCACAGCATGAATTTGGAAAATTAAAGACTTAAAACTCATCTAAGACCTATAGTAAACTGAAAGAATTAACTCAGTATTTTGATTTCTCATGACCTGCTTTTGACAACACTTTAACCAGCCTCTATGAGAAACTGAAGACTCAAGTAGAAAAGGCAAAATTCTCTAGACGGGATGTTACCAGGGAATTCTAAGTTCCAAGAATATCACCATGGCTAAAGATAAGAATTTTTATGTAAAAAAAATAATAATAATACCCCCCCCCAGACAACCTATAATAATTAGCATCTAATTCCTGCATATTACACATCAGTACTGCCATTCAGATCTCCAGATACATTTTCAGTACAGAAGGTAATGACCATAGAGCACTGTCACCTCTTCCATAGCACTGATGAGGTTCTGAGTGGACTTGCTGATCTCTCCACCTGCAGCCGGCAGACCACTGCCATGTGTGAAAAAAGCCGATCCTGGAGTTGTATGCCCATTCATGTCTACAGTATAACTTGCTTTCACAGGACAGCAAAGTTGGTTGTGCAGGATAAAATATACCACAAAGACATAAAGACCCTGAAACAGAGAGAGAAAAAGAGCATCAGCGTGTGAAATGCAGGGAGCTTAGATCAGAACTCGAACGCAGTCGTGGCAAGGTCCTATATGCTGCAGCAGATGCCTTCACTTACACTCACAGGCCATGCCACAAAGGGCTGCAGCCAGTTTCTATGCAAAATAAGAGATGACGTCACTGCCCATCAGAGATCTGGAAGTTAAAACTAAGTTCATATCCTGAGGCCTCCAACTAATCACACGCACACAAAAAAAAAAATCCCCAAACGCAACCCAAAAGTCATAGAAAATGACTATTTGGTTGAACCCACATGCTTGCAAAGCAAAGCCAAGATCTCATCAACAACAAAACCAACTCAAGTTTCACAGTTGTCATAATAGTGAAAATGTGGTTAAGGGCCACCTTCACAATAGGATTTGGCTGCTGGCCCCCAGCCACAGTTCTTTGTTTCCTTACTGACCTGCTGGGTCTTTGCATTCTTGCCCCAATTTCAATCTTATGCAAACTGCACTGCTGCCGTCACAGCTACCAAGTTGTAATTATAAATTAGATTCTCTTTGATATCCACTAATTCAGCACTGAATTACTGTAGTAATCATTTGTGATTACTACAAAGGCTCTGCTGTATGCCTCTGCAGCTCTTTAAAGCTTGCTAATTTTGACCTTTAGACTTAGCCAAGGAAACTATTATAACCATGTCTTTTGTTTGCAAAGAAATCCAGTGATTCTGAATATGAAATCTGACTTTCTCTAATTCTTAAGTTGCACTAATACTCAGGGAAAATGATCAATTTCAACTGATAAATCAAGCAGTTCAATAATTACTAAAGAAGGGGTTAATCAACAGAGTACAAAAATAAGGCTTCCAGATTCTTCCTGATTGCTGCAATACAATTACACTTGCATTGTTTTTTTACATTTCACATTGTCCTCAAGACCCCTGAAAGCAATTGTACTAAACAGAACAATTTATGGGAAAGGTACCCATTGGCACAAAAGTAGTAACTTGGATTATAAATAGTAAGGAGTTTCATCTAATTATATTTCAGAATTCCTAATGGAAGGAATTTTGAAAATACATGGAGACTGTAAATACCCAAGATACATGTTCATTTGCATCCCTATAAAACAGGCAGCAGCACTTCATGATCTACGGGTTCATAATTCCTAATGCCAAAATTATATGAGAAAACAGTCTGGCCCAAAGTGACACCTAACAGAAGTTAATGGGATTCAATGGGATTTCAATCTCAGGTGGTCAAACACTGGAAATACTCTCATACAGCTGCTATGAAGCTATACAGCTCTGTGTGTGCATTTTTTTAACAGCAAACCAGCAAACAAAAGTGTTAAAAACAACTATTTTGAGAAAACACTTTTGCACTTTTCCAGATTATTGGGGTTTTTTTATTGAGGACCCAGAGCAGTTAACTGAGAGAAACTTTCTTTGTGATACACATAAGTAAATACATTCCAAAAAAGTGATGCAAACACATGTTGCACTTAAGAGACACTAAAAAGGAACCAAAATGTCCTTTTATTCTAGAAACAAATCTAAGGACTGTGATGTAGGTCAAGCGTAATGGGACCAGCAAATGGATTTCTTTTGGTTTCAGTTGTTTAATGGGTATGAAAAGGATACAAAACCCAAGAAGAACAGATAACAGTGACGACACTGAATCCAGAGCAGCCTCTGGCATTTCAGCCTCTGAGGACCTAGCCACAAAAGTTGCACACACTTTTCAAGTGGTTTTGTACTTTTCAAGAAAACCCATTAGCTGAAAATGCTGCACAGCCCTGTCTTTCAGAATCGCAGGGACAGAAGGTGTTGGTGTGCAAGACCAATGCTATGTCACTCTCCTGGGCAGCCCCAAGTGTGGGTCTTACTCTTCTAAAAGAAATAAACATGGAATAAAATACCACAATTATCTCCTTAACTCAGCCTGGTGTCCTACTTTGACTCTCTGTGTGTTTCGGACAGTGCTATTTCTGAGGAACTACTGTTCTACTAGAATGACAGAAAGGCATTTTGATACCCAAGGCATCCCTGCTGCCACCACTTCTGCCCCTCGCTGTCATCCAGAGACGCAGACCCTTGTCCTGGGCAGCAGGAGCCAGCATCCCTGAGATGCATCGCCTGGTGTGGCACTCCTGCTGCAACCCTCCTTTTCTTGAGGCTGGGAAGGAACTTCAGTATCTGCAGTTCAGAGAACTCCCACGTATTGATGCAGACAGGTGATGGGGCAGCTCCTCTGGGTCCTTCCATAACGAGTACATAGACTTGGGAAGGTTTTTTGACTAAGCACAGGAGTCGTCGCAGGCTGAGTTAGCTAACAGAAACAAAAATTGTGAGTTTTACTTCTCCCACTCTTGTAAAATATTATGGCAATGCCTTACAAACAGAAGCTCTTACCTAACAAAACCCAACACTGCCAAGTAGGTTATATGTCTGCACAGGAACTGCGTTGCTGGGTGGAAGATTTCTTGCTTAGCTGGAAAAAGGATGGAACCTTCTTTGACCCATATTCCTATCCAAATCTAAAATCTCAAGAAGATTACACTCCGTAGAGGTGAATTCCTTTGTGCCATCACTGTGGTTTTGTTTGAAGTATAAAAAGGGGTTTGTGGTTTTATTCTTACTACCCTCTATCTCTATTAGAAACCACTGCAACTGAATTTTGGGAAATCAAAACAAGGCAAATGGCCCTGCTCAAACAACACTGAGTTCCAATGATCATACACATGAAGATACCATGGATGAAGCCATACTGCTTATTTTAGCACCAGCAGCTACCAGGCTGTTTAATCTGAAAAAGCACGGGCAGGATGCAGACACTCAGGTTGTGTCAGTGCAACCACAGCTTTTACAGTGTCGGTGTTTTTTTTTTTCAAAAGCACTAGTTTGAGAATTTAATTGTCCTTCATCAGACTTTTGACACTCATTATATTCTTTTTCACTTCAACCTTTAATGTTGTAAAAATAGCCTTAAAGTACTATGAAAATTAGGCTACTGGCATTTTAATATATGTTTCACTGAGTTTATCATATAAACAACTTTGGCCAAGTTGGCACCACTTTACTTTTTCACCTAGACATTGTTCTTGCCAGTTGGACGAAGTATGAAATGCAGAGAATAGTCAAGTTCTATTGATAGTGTCAGTAAAGGCTGCTGGTTATTTTACTGATCTATGCTGATGGAAGACAATTAAGCTTTCACCATTTCACCTCAGCAAGCTGGTCTGTACATCTGCTTTTTTTTGTACTGTTATGTCAGGGAATAAATATCCAGAAAAACCACAGCTACAACTCTCTGTAGGAAAGCTCTGAAAGCTCTGGGACCTTTTCAGCCAGTGAGGTGGGAACAGCCTGGATGCTGCTCTAGGTTATGGCAGATATTTCACCAATCTTCTTTCGGATTTGCTACAGATACTTGATCAACCTGATTGCCTTCTGCGGCTGGTCCAGTGGACAGGGGGATAGCAGTGGATCACATCTGCTTTGAGTTTCGCAAGGCTTTCAGCATGGTCTCCCACATCACGCTGGTACCCAAGTTAGGACATTGTCCTTCTGCATGGGTAGGGCACTGGATGGGTAAGAACTTGAGCAAGTCCAGTGGAGGGCCACCAGGATGGTCAGGGGCTCAAGCACCTGTGATGACAGGCTGAGGGAACTGGGCTTTTTGACATGAAGAAGGCTTAGAGGGGAATTAATAGCCATTAACTGCTGTTAGCTTTCCAATACGCAAGAGGTGGTTATTGAGAAGACATATGGGCATGGCAGGAGAATGAGAGATACGGGCCCTAAGTCAAAACAGGGGAGGTTCCAACTGGATATAAAGAAAACATATTTAATGTGAGGGTAATTAACCACTGGAACAAGTTGCTCAAAGAGACTATGGAAAGTTATCTATTGGAGAAGGAGGGAGGTTTTTCCTGGTACATTTTATAATTCGTGGGAGGGTTTTGTGCATGCATGGGTGTGAGGGGGATTCTCATATACAACAGCTTGATTTATTTATTCTGCAGAGTGACGGCTGCAGGAAGCTAGTAAATTAAGGACAGTCTTCCACAGCTCTCAATAAAAGGACAAAATACATTTTACACTTCATAAGATCACATGCAAACCTGGAGGACTGATCCACAGAAACCTTTCATTGCACATTTGACACTCGTAGTCTCTCTCTCTCTTTATCCTCTAATTCTGCATGTTCCAAATAACTGTGCTGACACTACAGTATGTCTAAATTCGGAAAATGAGATAACACTGCTAATAGTAATGAGAAAGGATACAACAGACTGTGGGCCATCAACAAACCCTTTCATCATCTCCTTTTTACACGCTGAGAGAAAATGAAGATGTCTACTGTATGCCATACAAAGATGCCTACTGTATCTCATAATTTTAAATTGGTCTTGTAAGATAAAGGACTTTTACTGATCTAATAAACACAAACACACCAAGTCATTACATTGAAAACCCAAACAAATAAACAAAAAAATCCAACCAAAAAAAAAAGACAAACTAATATACCTCACACTTCTCACACAAGTATTTTCATCCATGTCTGAGAATACCCTGAAATATCAAAAGCTGTTTTCCAAGAAGTGGATTCAGGTAATGTCAACTATTCTAGAGGAATGCTATTTCTATATATAAAACTAAAGTACCTTTGCAGGACTTCTTGTAAGGAAAAGCAATTTGAGCACTCCATTTGAACAGTTCCTCAACCTGTTTCAGGACTAACAAAAATTCAGTCCACTCTACACAGGCATTCTTTGACTTCCTATTTTAATTTGGAAAAATTTATTTTATCAACATGTGACTATACCACTGAAAGTTGTTTCTTTCAGAAGAGAATATTTTAAGTGAAATCAAGGCTTTCAAAAAAAAATGGTATCTTGTGTTAGACCACAAAAAGACCTCAGTGTCCAGAACCATATCATTCTGATCCTTAAATCAGTGTGGCTACTACATCACTATTATTTTCAAAGTTGCACATTT